GTAAAGGTTGGGGCTTTTTTTTTTTTTGGTAGCTGTACAAAAATTTTTAAACACACATGAGCTTCCTGCAAATTTCTAGCACCAGTAGTTGAGTAAGTCTAGAGTATAATTCAGAATCTAAAGACAGGGTTTGTAGATTTTCAAAGACAATCTAAGACTTAAGTACAATCTGTTAATTCACAAACATTAGGGACAAGAGAAAATAAATGCAAAGGTTACAAGGGGTCAAGACAAAGATGGTTCCCATCTCCAAGACTACAATTTCCAGAACAATCTGGGTGTAAAACCAAAACAAATGAACAATAACCCATCCAGGCACACTCCAAGTAGTTCTACACATGCACATGTCTGTTCCTACCCACTAAAATGGAACTTCCCAGGTATTCCTTTATTTCTGGAAAGTAACTAAAGCTTTCTCAACATCAACACTACACAGAAATAAATACCTGATGGGGGTTTAAAACAGAAATAACTTCATAAACCGTATCTGTAGTTACATCATTAGTAAGCAGTTCAAGGCAAGACTGATTGTCTAATAAAAGTATAGTCTGAGATAAAATGGTTTGGAATACTCCAATCTGAGTGTACTTCCATGAAAATAAAGCTAATTGATAAACAAGCAAAATAACTACCAACGTGTCACAAAGCGCAGTAATTCATGGTTTATCATTAGGAGTGGTTAAAGAAATATGACAGCTTTACTCCTGTATTTTACACACTCAGATCTGTTTTTCAAGATTCTCAACTTGGAAAAAAAAAAAACTCAGATAATCATCAACCATCCTTGGGCAAGTTTCCACACAAGTCCTCACAAGACTGACACCAGTAGCTCCCATTTACTTTTAGCCCCACGAGTCATGGGCGCCCCAAGCACTAGGCTGGCCTATCCAGACATGTTACTGAAATACACGTGGAATTTTCCACTCTGCACTGCTGGGAAGCAAAATGTGTAGGGACAAAACTTCACACAAACATTTTAAGCTTCATTACTTATGGTAAAGTTCTGTGCCCAGGTACCAAACACCACACAGCCCCCAAAGCTCAGTTTAAGGCAATAAAGCTTTTCTAAGGACCAGCAAGGCTTCATCAGGGGTGTAATTCTCCAGCAAAGCTTTGCTGGCATTTACAGTGCATTGATGCACAGGTTTTGACTGAGCTATGGTGACTTTGGACCATGCCAAACCCAGCTCTCTAGCGGCAGCAAGCTTCTAGCCAAGAACACTCCTGAGCAGGATACTGCTGAAAGGCCCACCTCAGCACACCATACTATCAAAAAGAAGTACTTCTGAGCAGATGTTTGCATTATCATCAATTGGTGCAAGTGGCTTCCCAAGCAAATCTACCAAAACCAAACATTTAGGTCCTTGCAAACACCATTACACTCTCTAACAACTCTCAGCTTCAGATTTGTAAGTGCTAGGGATGTTTAAAATGAGATAGTACATCTGAAGCTGGGGTTGGCCATGGCAGCAGGCTCTGCTGCCACACTTCCCACCTCACAAGCTGTGCTTCTCGTGCTGACAGCAGTACTTGGGGCATAACTCCTGCTCCTCACCCCAAATTCATTCAGAGAGATGCTCCTTCCACTTCCACACTTGCAGTGTCTGCCAGAAAACCTCACTTTGCAGCGTCAAGCAGACCTCACTTTGCCTCAAATTTGAGTATTTCTCAGTTGAAACACTAAATTGGGAAGACAACGATGATGTCCTGAAAATAAAGCTAAGAGCAAGTTAGAACACATGAGTACGGCCATCTGTTTTCTTGAGGCCTTTTTGTTTCTCTTTTTGTTCGCTTCGTGCTAAGTTTTTGTGAACTTTTTTAAGCTAGTACTTAATTTTTGTTGAAAGTTTTAGCAATACTTTTAAAAATGTGCATTTCATGAATTGGTACTCCTGGCATTAAAGCATCTTATTCATTTGATTTAACTAAAATAACTTTCAAATGGGATGGGGGCTGCAGAAAGAAAACAAACCAAAACAAATACAAAATATGTAACTGCATTTTAATCTAAAATCCTGGATATCTAAATTTCATGTTAGAAGTTTTGGTTATACTTACGCACTCCATCTGCAGGTATAAGAAATAAATAACTTTTTCCAGACTGGTGGTGAAAATAACTTCTCTAATGGAATATAGTCTTGAACTAAGAAACTTGGAAGGTCCCCCAACTTCTACATTCACACTGTTATCTCCCTCTAAATACACTGAGACACAGCCTTAATATTTGACTTTTCTTTTTTAAAGCATACTGTTTCTGCAGGGCATTAAGGCTCACTTCCAGAAGCTGACTCAAGACTTCCCATTAACTCTCCCCTTAGTTACTGAGTAAGAGGGGAAAATACTCTTAAGTTGCTTATTTTTAGTGAAGCTGAACCATCCATTCATAGGAGGAAAGAACAGCACAGAGCAAAGAAGAAAGCTATGCTTGTTTCCCTATACAAATAAAATTATGGGCATGACAAACCAGTTCATAGGCACAGTTTGGGCTAAAAAACATTTAAGTGCTTATTTCTTACATGGAATATCAGGACTTCACACCCTGAGCATTTTAACATACATACATCCAAGTGTCATAAAAGATCAAAAATAATTCATCAAAAGGTTCAAGAAACCTTATGTCACAAGTCTTGAAAATTGCCTCCCAGCAAAGCTGTCCTGGGGGAAGGACAGAATTCTACTAAATGCTTCCAGTGTATTTTACTTCCTGGAAAACAGAGAGAAGAGCCCTCTACAATATCTATTCACAAACACTTGAAGCTGTATCAGAAAGTCAGTTTTCAGCCCAAAGATACTTTCTAAAACAACAATAAGAAGTCAATCCATGCTGAAATTTTTCTGAGGACTAGAAATACCAACAAAAGGAGGTGAATGATGTCAAATGCTTCTCATGTATCAGCACTTCTCAAACACAGTTCTGTTCTCTTCACAAATATGACTTTGTAATAATCAAACAGAAATAAAAATATTTGTTGAAATATGGAGCTGGAGAAAAAAAGTTATTTCATTTGCTAATCATCCCACGAATTTGATCTCACCACAAACAGCCCAACAGGCTTCAATACTGGAGTGGGATTTCTCTTGTGACTAAAAGACAAGAGATTTGACCAATAAGGAATAAACCAAGGTTAATTCTTGTACTGTTCTGAAGGGAGCAACCTGGTTAAAACAGCAATGTGGACAAAAAGCACTTGAAAGAGCCCTAGTGGATAACAGCAGGCAAGGTAGTCAAAGCAATAAACACTCTGCAGTTAAAGTCAAAACTAATCTACCTCCTGCTCAAGAGCATGAATTAGAAAATAACCAAGTCAGGACAGACATTGTCACACTTTTAATTATCGAAGAACACTTTTCAAATAGTAGGAAGAGTATTCCAGCAAACTGCGTCCTCTGTGCACGTCCCAACAGGTAGAGAGAAGGCCACACACAAAGCCGTGCCAGCGAGGCACAGTACCCAGGAACCCAGCTGCAATTGCCATCGATTCCATCCACCAAAACCAGCCCACTGCTTCATTAGCACTTACTCAGCACGCCGCTTGCCTCCAATCCACTCCCACGGGCAAGGAGAGGACTCAGAGCTCAGGTGACATCACCCTGCACAATAGAAGGTTGCAGGACCTTTTCAGACATCCTCAAGTCCAGCCCTGGTTAATCCCATGGGTTTCTCCACCCAAATCCTGCTTTAGAACAACTCAACTGTTCAAAGGCACCCTAAGAAAATAAAATCTCCTGTTGACAAAACACTGACATGATTCTCACCTCTGAGTCTCAATATTTAACAGACACGCCACAAAACAAATAGTTTCTTTTCTTGGGTTCCATAAAGAGCTTCTGCTAACAGGAAACATGCAAAGAAAAAAAAAAAAAAAAGGAAAAATAAATCACAAACATTTTGTGCTAAATACTCATTTCCCTGTATTTCACCTGAAGTATTTTTACAACAGCATGAAAGCTGTCTCAGAGCACAAGACTCCAGCACAAACTGGTTGGTCTTTTGGAAAAGAAAAGCCACTGCAGTATCCATCCAGTGTTCGGCCTGGATCAATGACTGAAACAAAGGAACAAAAACAAGGAAACGTGAAGCAAAGGTTAATTGCACACTACGAAGTGTCTGTGCTTTAAAACTAGCTCAGCTAAAAATCTAAGTGACCTTGTGTGACAATTGCTTGGAAAAGCAGGCAGCTTCAGACTGGAAACGTTAACTGGGAAAACACTGGCAATAAAAGTCTTCAACTAAGTAATATTGTGTGGATTATTCACAAAACTAAGTAATTTGGTCGTAACACAAAAAAAGAAATCAAAATATATTCATTTCAAGGTTGGTTTGGGGGAGAGGACCTTCAAGGATGTCTACTACTAGAGTTGCTCCCTGCTGTCCATCCCCAGGGAACTCTGACGAGCACGCAAAACGGGCTGCGCAATTCCCAAAAATTCCTTGATTGTTCCACAGCCAGGGCTCGAAAGAATAGGTTGTTTAGACAGTAAGAGACAAAATGTCACTCGATACCCGCTTAAATACCGCAACTTCAGCGATGTATCGCCCGAAAAGTTCACGCTTCACCGTTTTCCTCCTTTTTGAGCCCAACCGGGAGGCGCAGCAGCAATTACGCAACGCTGCTCCTTCAGAGGCGGATGGGCTGGAAACTGAGGGAATATCCAGGGAGGGCACCGCATCCCGGCCGCTCTGGGAGCCATCCCAGGTCTACGACGTCCCTCACACCGCGTCCCCAAGCCGGCAGCCGTGCTGCAACCCAGCAAGGGGAGGGCGGGGGTCTGCTCCCACACGCCGCGGTGCTACCCGCGCTGACACCACCGCGGGGCGGCTGTCGGCGACAGCCCCTCACGGCGACACCGAGTAGCAAACGGGGACCGGCCGAGACCGGCCAGAATTCGGCGTCCGAAAAGCGGCGCCGTCCCGCGTCCCCCCCGCTCCCGCCCTCAGCGCCCCGCGCGCGCCTCCCCTCAGGGCTGCGGAGCCGCCGCTGAGGGACCCCCCTCAGCCTCCCTGCTCCCTCTTCTTCCCTCACGGCGCTCCGAGTCCCTCAAGGAGCAGCGCCAGCACCTGCCGGGCTTCCCCGCTGCGGCGCCGGACGACGAGCACGCCAGAGCCCGCCTGATGAGTGCCCGCCTGCCGCGCCGCACAGGTACCTGCGCGCCTCCCCCGGGGCCCTCTTGTCTCCCCGCCCGAGCGCCCCTCACGAAAAGGGCGGGAAGGGATGTGTCCTTCTGGCGCCCCTCAGGACATGGCGCTCCCCCACACCCCTCAGCTCCCTCCTCAGGTCACACCGTCCCCTCGCTCAGAGACACTGCATCGACGCGGCTCCCCTGCGGCTCCTTCCCTCGGCTCTCGCCTCACGGCACGGCTCTTCCCCTGAGCTCCCCAGTACTCAACCCGACTTCCATGGCTCTTCCCCCCAGCCCTTCGACTCTCACCCCTCCCATCCCCTTGAACGGCTCTCTCCTCCCGCTACACCAGACCCTCCGCCGCGGGCCCCCTTCCCCTTGCGGGAAGGGAAGAGAGCGAAGGTAGACTGGGACAAGCAGCGAGGTGGAACGACATTCCCTCTCCGCCTCCCCACCCAGCCCCTCCGCTCCGCGCCGCAGCCGGGACCCCTCGGTACCACCGAGGCCCCTCACCGCTCTCCCTTCAGGGCCGCTCCTCCGCGTCGCTGCCTCTGGTAAGGAGCCGCCGACCGCAGCTCCGCTCGGGGCTCTTGTCCTTCAGCCGGGTCCGCCCGGCCCGGGCTGCGGCGCTGCTGCGGCGCCGAGAGCGCCGGGCCCGCCGGTGCCTCCGCCCGGGCTCTGCTGCACCTGCTGCGGGGCTGGGCTGCCCTGCGAGCAGAGGAGGCTCCCTCGCTCCGTCCTCCCTCAACTTCGCATCACTCCGGGCTGCCCCCGCTCCGCCCCACCGCATGCACCGGCGCTGCCGCTCGCCCCCGCGTCCGGGGAAAGGCTCGGCTGCCCTCCCGCCCCATGCACTGCCCCGCTGCCGGGACGGCGGGCAGCTCCCGGCACAGGGCAGGTCCCCTGTGCCCGCCTCCGGCGGGCGGGACCGGGGTCGCCTGCACCAATCAGCCCCAGTGCGGCTGCTTTTCGTTTCCAGCCCTTTGCCGTGGGCAGAGATAACTTCTCCTGGACCAGATTGCTCCCAAGTCACATCCAACTGCTTGGCTATTCAAGTAACAACTAAACGACGTAGTTATCGCGACCTCGCTCACCTAACAGGCTTTAAATACGAACGCTAATTACCCAATTGGTTTTGTGTGTGTGTGTGTTGTGCGTGTGTTTCAGGTGGATGTGGATTTGTTTTTTTTTTAACCCGTGTTATTTCCTTGTTATCTAATAATGATATATCAAAATGTAATCAAACTGTAATCTCATAGCTGACAGACAGTAAAGTTCTTTGAAACAAGATTTGCCCCTCACCTCTCACGCACTCTAAAATCCAAACTTTCCCTGTTTCCTTTAACTTACATGTTCACTGGAGTTTCTGCAACGAGCTTTAAAGGACAAGAAGTGTCAGGTTGTCTTCCTGATTTGACAGATCAAGTTACTCCTTTAATAAAAGCGAATGTTTAAGTTTTGTCAGACAAAAAAAAAAAAGCTAATGAAATTTGAATGATAGGTTAATAAAATAGCACGATAAGAAAAATGAACATAAGCTTTAAATTGACATCCATTTCTGTCAAGACAGCTTGCAAAAGAAAATGAAACTTAACTTTCATTCAAATTAATCCAATTTATTGGGGGCATACAGTTTTCCTTTGCATTCATTACAGAGCTTTTTAAGAGCTCTTCTGTTTCTCACATATAGAACAAATCATTAAAGCTTCTCAGACCTCTAAAAGTGGCAGTCGGTGCAGGTACCTGGGGAATTCTATTACAATTATTTACCAAACCTTGGTAAAAAAATTAAAGGTTTCTTCATGGAATGTTGTACTGAAGATGTCTCACAGTGGTGGTAGCACTTTGAATTTAACTACTGTGTGCTATTTCATACTAGCTCAAGAGTGAATGTTATTTATAAAAGCTTTTGTATTATTCCCCACCCACGCTCCTGTCAGCACATCAGACTTGCTTGATTTTGTCATTGTTCTGCCTTCCCAATTTCCTACCTTGAGCAGATGAGAATAGGTCAGACCCCTTGAGAATAGGTTTTGTTGAAAATTACTGTGTTCAAGAGTTAATGGTTTTCTCATAACATCCTACATTTATTGTAATGGCATCTTTCCTTGCTTTGTAATGGCAACTTGCCTTGAGTTTCCATCAACTCTAGGAGTATGTACATCATAGTGTTCTGTCTTTGCCTGTTATAATTCCATGCTAGTGCCAAATTGATTTTATTTCAAACTCCAGATATGTGTAAAATTTTGTATTTAACAATTTTTTATTTCTTTCAAAGTAAATATGAAGCATTTATTATTAGCTAAACTATGATTATAAGGTGTGTAAGGTATACAACAAAATACTGAAACAGGGGATTTTTGTTTTCTCATATTTTCCAGACCCTAAGAAAGAAATTCTGTGTTGCAAAAATTTTGGAGTCTTGGAATCCAAAATTGTGATAAGGAGATCAGATTCAAATTTTAAAAATAAAAATTCACAAAATGCTATAAATATGAAGCATTCTTAATTTTTGTTACAATTTCACAGTGTTAATAAACACTTCAAAGCACTTTTGAAGAACCTTAAATTATTTTCCAAAGAGCCACCCTCATATTATTTTTCAAGGCAGAAATTTAATTAATTTGCTTTTAATGTGAACAGTGACGTCATCAAAGTTATTTTTACTGGCTGAGGAGCAAGAAATGCCTCTTGATGTGACATATTTCTCTGAGGTTATGGAGTGCCTTCATCCAACAGAATGAGATTAGAACTTGATTGTGTTGGAGGAAGACAATGGTTCCCTGTTGCAATTTCATCCCAGTGGGGTTTTTATCATGCTCATAAAAATCAAGAAATACTACACTGTTAATTCCGGATTTGTGATTCTGCAAATTCAGTTAATTGAGCTGCACAATATGCGTAAGTTATATTGAAGATGTGTCCCTTGTGCATTTCTTCTGATTTGCACAGGTCTGGCCAAAGTGGAAGGAATTTCTCCAGTAGATTTCTGGATCATGATGATTCACATTGAGGTCTTTTAAGTGGTTTTTTCTCAGCCTCAATTGTTTTGGCTATACATGCACATACCTCAAGAGTTTTTACAGAGCAAAGTACAAGTATCACCTTCCTTGTAACTGATACCAATTGAAACGCAGTCATAAGCAGCTAAAGTCATTTATTTAAGTAGGGTTCATAGTTCTTTAGCCTTTCCAATATGCCAGAATGAATTGATCATCTGAAATGTATAGTGCCCCATTTAACTGCAGGGTTACCAGACAACCAGCACTTCTGGATCTGCCTGCCTCATCTTTGGAACCTGCTCACAGATCCTCACAAAAGCAATGAAAACTTAGAAATGAGTCTGCTGTAGGCAGCTGTTACCCTTACTGTCTCACACAAGTGACACTAACACACTAACACACCAGTTAATTCTACCTGAGTGGGTGAACCCCTGGACTGTGTGTTACAGCTGTAAATGGTGTCTCCCAACAGAAAACTACAGTGATCATCCCATGCTTTGTGGCTCGTGGAGGTGTGAAATGGTAATTCCTATTTAGCTGATGTAATTTGGGTAGCAGCAGACTATTTTTCTCCTAGGTGAGAAATCTGTGATAAGCCTGCAGTTGTTCTTTCAGTGCAGTCTGTGTAATTACAAAACACAACGTTCTATTTCCTGGGGCAAAAATTTTTACAAAGGAAGAAGGAATCCTTTATGGACAAATTTAGGTGAGACCTCATGTCTCATTTATTCCTTGCTTGGCAGTAAGTTTCTGAGGAGGTTTGTTGACCATGGAACCAGGACACTTTAAAGTAGAAAAATGTTAAAACCATAAATCCCACTTTGCTATGCCTTGTTGTAAGGGACATTCTGTGGTTAGAGAAGGCACAGGGAAGAGCACTTAAAGCGTTTGAGCAGATCAAGCAGCTCTCCTATGAGGAAAGACTGAAGAAGGTTGAACTCTTCTGTGTGGAAAGGGAATAGCTGAGAGAGGATTTGGTCAAGATCTGCAAAACCATGAAGGGGGTAGAAATGACAGCTACACAACTGCTTTTCGCCACAAGCTGTGGCTCCAGAACAGGTGAGAGTAACTGCAGCAAGCACCAAAGCAGGTTAAAGAGATGAAAGGCAGCTTTTCACGACAGGCAGCTGACCTTGATTTCCCTTATTACCCCGAGAAGTTAAAAAGGCAGGCTGATTGAGCAAGGTTAGTTATAGAACGAGCAGCTTTGTGAGTGAGGGCAGTTCAGCTCTGGAGATCAACTTTGGCCCTGTTGCTGTGCAGATGCAATAACTGAGTATTGTGAGTGAGTAATAGAGGAAGTGGTTAGCAGAAGGGGTTATGCTGTCTTTCAAGGGTCTTTTCTTTTCCCACTGTTAGAAGCTGAATAGTGACCTGGAAGAGCTTTGTTAACTCTCAGGGTACTTTTTGTGTTGAGAACTCTAGTCTAGGGATCAGAGACACAAATTAAGTTATTTTTTTCTCTTTTTTTTACTGCTTTAAGCAGAGTTCTGAATGTGAAAATGTAGTCAGAAGACTGAAAGACTCTCTGGGTGGTTTTCCTGTTAGTGGGTGGAGAGACTATGGTTTTGTAAAAGTTGCTTCTGGAAACTTAGGCTCTGTTTATCCCAGAATATTTTCAGGTTCTAGAGTAATGCTGAAACACAGGCAGGAAATGTTAGGTATGGTGTAGGTGCTTCTTAGTTGAATTGAGTTGTTTATGTTATATGTTGTGGTGACTTTTTGTTCACTTATTTTTTTTATTGTACACTTAATGGTGATTTAGTAATGGGGGTTCAAAAACTGTGACACTCCTTGTTTCAGTCCTGTGTTTCAATATTGTTTCCCTCTGATTGTGTAGTCACTTCTTGAGTGGCATGATAACATATTCTTCAGTGTGCCTTTAAAAAGGAATACAGAAACGGATTAAAGTTTCTGTTTATGCTTGTGAGGGTTGCTTTGAATTCAATTTCGTAAGATTAGTCATTAAGTGTGTAAAACCACTGCATGTGAAAACAGTGTCCTCTTAGTTGTAGTTA